ATGGAATGTCTATCCTTATATGGTGTTGTTTACAACTTTCGTGCAAACTAAATTTAGACCGTACAGTTTATACTGTTTTTCGAAATATAAGATGTTCAAGCAAAGTTCAAATGTTTTAAATACTGTTTTCTCAAAACAGAACATTTCGTGCTTTGAGATAAGATAGCCAAGAGCAATTAGCCTGCGTAGCAGGCGCTATTTAGGGGGCTTCTCCCACCATCGCCCTCCCCCCTAAATAGCACCTGCTACGCAGGCTAAAGACCAATTTGATCACGGCAGTTAATGTGTTTTTTATGCATAGTGCTTCAGCAGTTGACATATCTAGAGCTCAGCGGAAACATATAAATTATAGCATCTGACCAATGATAATTTCGCGTCACGATTTGAGACGCAGATATTCAAATTTATTAGTCATCGATGCAGGCTCTCAATTCAGCTTGAGAGCCTGTTCGCAGGCTAATACCAGTGATGTTACGTCTATTCTTATGTATGTCTTTAATTTATGTTATGTCTTAAGTTACCCAAGCAATTTTTAACAAAATACCTTCGCAGCAAATTGTCTTACATCTTGCAGGAAATTTTTGCCACCTTATACAGGGTGTATCAAAAAAAACTGAACAGATTTAAAATTGCTCTCAATTTCGCAAAACAGCTATTTGTAGCTGGTTTTTTATATATATAGCTTCTTTGGGTACTTATAATGTAAAATAATGAAAAAAATTTCTCGAACTTAAATTTTGTGAACCAGGGGGGTGTGTCTTTTCCAACAAAATAAAAATGGCTCGCGCACAAAATTTAAAAGCTGCAATCATATTTTGAGATAACAGATGGAAAATTTGTCCGGATTTTAATTACTGTACAAAATTTTAGACAATTTGGTTTAGTTTAAGCCCCTTAACTATTCACGCAAAGTTACAATTTTCCCGAAAAATCATCTATTTGCATGCTTAATTAATGCATTTGCCTAATTTGCATATGTCAGCAATATGCAAATTAGGTAAAGGCATTAATTAAGCATGCGAAAGGCTGACTTTTTAGAACAAAATGAATAGTTAAAGGGCTTAAACTAAACCAAATTGTCTGAAATTTTGTACAGTAATTAAAAACCCGACAAATTTTCAATCTATTAACTCAAAATATGATTACAGCTTTTAAATTTTGTGCGCGAGCCATTTTTAATTTGTTGCAAGAGACACACCCCCCTGGTTCACAAAATTTGAGATCGATAAATTTTTTTCAATATTTTACATTATAAGTACCCCAAGAAGCTATATATATAAAAAACCAGATACAAATAGGTGTTTTGCGAAATTGAGAGCAATTTCAAATCTGTTCAGTTTTTTTTGATACACCCTGTATATTGGAAGACATATAATTTACGTATTGTATTTGCATGCATGTCGAGATTATTGAAATTTATCAAACTGTGAGACACCGTACGTTCTCTGAAATCTACATATGCAGGAAGTTTTACTTTGACTTACGCAGGGAATTTTTATTTTTGGATTTTGCTGCCAGGAAGAGAAACATTTTCTAGGCCTGCCTTGAATCCCTCTATTGTGATCTGCATCTTTCTCTTTGTCTTTTCCCAATATTTAGTGAGGCTTTCTTTTTATGTTGTCTCCCTGAAACTCGATCTCTTGCATGTGAGGCTTTCTTTTTATGTTGTCTCCCTGAAACTCGATCTCTTGCATGTGAGGCTTTCTTTTTATGTTGTCTCCCTGAAACTCGATCTCTTGCATGTGAGGCTTTCTTTTTATGTTGTCTCCCTGAAACTCGATCTCTTGCATCTCCTTCACTTCCTCCCTTGCTCTTCTTCATTCTAACACTCAATCTTATTCTCTGTCTGCTTCTGGATCGTGGTTTTCTTAATTTCCAGAAACATCAATCACAGTTCCATGAGTATATGGACTTTTCTAGCTTTTCCGATGCAGTAAAAGTTATCCAAGTTTCGTATGGAGTCAACCTGTCCCTGGACACAACTTAATTCAACTCAGACAGAAAACAAGGAAGAAAACGTTTTTTTCCACAATGTTCTAGCCCGCGTGCAGGCCCAAGGGAAGAATAGTGGGCCTGCAAGCAAGGCCCGGCATTTTGTAAAACGCGCCTTTTCATAACACGCCCCATTCGCGCGTCAATTGTCAAAAAAGAACCAATGACAGCAACCCAAATAGTAACAAACAAACTCGCATTAAAATGTTGCGGGGTTTTCTCTGCTTTAATATTCAAAATGGAAACAATGTGTAAATTGCAAGTGCTCATTTTGAACTAAAATCGGAACAGGCAAATTAAGACGAATTTCAACAGAAAACCAGTCTCAAACTTCAAATCGTGAGGGAAGTCGTGGGACCACATTAGCACTAATGTGTGCTTCGCTTCGCTGTCGCCATTGTTATAAATAAATTGTCTCACTTATCAGATCGTGTGTGCAATTCTTGTTGGCGGCGGAAAGTACGAAATTTATTTCAGTTATTTCATTTGGTAAAGAACTCTACAAAAGAAGAGAGCGTTCAGAGTCCAGATCGTTTCATTTCAAACGGCAATTACCGTCTTCTGTTTCGCTCACTCAGCGAAGCCTTGCAAATCGCAAAGTGTTTCGAGTCAAGAACAGAGTCAACATCAACCAAAAGATAATTTTCTTGAGGAACATATAACGTATCAAGTCTGTTTGAAATTAATGATACTCAAGTAAAGGTTACTATAGTTTACCCCAGTCGCAATGTTGCTATTCCAACACTTCACGACAAGCAATCCCCATTGGCATAACGGCAAAAACATCTCTTCTTTCAAGTAAACAATAACAGTCTGTCCTTGTTCCATTTTTAATCGAAAAAAGTGATCAATTTTCGAATTTTGAGCTTATGGAGAGCCTTTGTGATGAATCACTGATCTAATTATATAATCCAACATCAAACAGTCAATCAGAATGCTGCATTCGTGGCAACCTCGTTATCCTGGGTACGAGGTTGCGTTCGTGGGCGAACGCGGAAAGTACAAAATACCGGGCCTTGCTTGCAGGCCTACTATTCTTCCCTTGGGCCTGCACGCGGGCTACGAATTTTCATGTCTTATTAAACTACTGTAACTATTAGGCTGTTGCGGTATATCGATATAGTCCATAAATATCGAAATTTCAAAAATATCGATATTCGACTTTTCGAATACAGAAAATATCGAAAATACCGAAAATATCAAAAATACGGAAAAAAATACGAATGTTTTATCAAAATTATTTCCCGGTAAAATCTAGAAAACACGCGTGGGCAAGTGTTTACCACAAAAGATCACAACCGAACTACCCACACAAGCGACAGTGAACGCTTGAAAACAATAGCAGTGCGATGACTCATAAAGAGGGAATGTGCACTTATTTGAATAAAATTTATGAACAGTCTTATGAACTGCAGAACCAATAGGCTTGTAAATAGTAAGTAAATCTTTCATAAAATGACCATATCGTAGTTAATTAGAAAACCTTTTGATATTCGATTAGTTTCACCCAACTTTGTTTTTTGCTGTTTCCGACGCGGTATACATTCACATACATTTGACGCGGTATATTGACTAAACTACATTTCGTAATTTTGCTAATTTGCATATTTTCGATATAGTCGATATTTTTTCAACTATAAACTTCATTAATATTTACACTGGTTTGCTCCATGACTGATTTTTGTAGGGGTCTATTTGGAACCATCAGTTATTAAATACAATCATGTTACTACAGGAGAAAACCGTTATATAGTGGTATTACTGATAAAGATGGCGGCCTCGAATGAAAGTATTGAATGTTTTCGCGAATATTTTGCTGTTGGCTATCGCGTACCTAACCCTATAGCTTGGAGCACTGGGAATCGCGTATTTACGAATCATTGAAATCGCAATATAAAGCATGCCGCGGAAACATGAACTACAGTAATACGACAGCTTTTCTTTTGCTTGTTTTACCTAAGTTATATATAGAATACTCGTCGATTTTTAAACCTTACACCGAAGTGTATTAAGTAATCGAACTATGAATCGAATTCTATAATCGTTGACTTTTTAACAGCTATCAGCACCAAAAAAAGATTTTTACTTTGTCTGAAGTATGGTCGGCAAAAATTTGCCGACCTGGGAGGTTTTAACCTATTAAAATAGGTCGGCATTTAGGTCGGCATTAGAGAGTTTAAGTTCGACTTCCGATACCAATACCGATATCAACGTCTTCACTTCCGTTCTCATTTTGGTACCGGGAATTTTAAAGCGTTAAGTTATCACGACTGATAAAGTATAGAACACATTAATCGTCACCGAAAATTTGTGGTATACTAAACGGCAGCTGAGCTAAAATTCCGACTAAAACATGACTCAGGCGATGCTAATAAACAAATAGTTTACGTATTCATGGAAAATTATGAAATATCCAATTTATACGAGTTTATCTTACAATTCCCACGACTTCCAATACAAGGCCGACTTCGGTAGTGCTGACTTCCAATACACTTGCCCTCGTGCTTCTTGCGAGCAGAGCGCATGCGCATGACCTGTTGTTAGTATCGGTATTGGTATCGGAAGTCGAACTTAAACTCTCTATTGTCGAGTGCCGACCTCGTTTTCGAGTGCTGGATTAGATATAACAAGCCAGGAAAACTTTGCCAAGTGGACGGTTCGCTATAAACGTAAGTTAAAACTACAATTGTCTCGAACATTTTTATGTATATTATTAATACGTAATAGGATGGTTTCTCGTGAAATTTGAATAAAACAAGCACTCGTGAGTTTTTCAAATACCTCAAATAGCACTCGTCCTTCGGGCTCGTGCTATTTTGATACTGTTTGAAAAACTTACTCGTGCATGTTTGATCCAAATTGCACTTGAAACCATCCTATTACCTATACTAACGCCAACATTCCGACTTTACTCAATGATCAGAGACATGACAACGAAAGCAAATTTTCACTCGTTCTTTAAATTCATATTCTGTGTTATATTTACTTTATTTTCGTCCTTGAAGATGAGGCGACTGTGGATGCTATATATGCGGTTGTAAACAAACCTCTAAAACAACAGAGTCTCGTGGATGCAACTGAACCAGAGGAAGCAGAGGAGGAAGCGCCCCCTTTGCCAAGTCGACCAAACTTTGAAGTTGAGGACGATCCAATAAAACCTCAGGAACAATTGGCTAAGGAAGAACCACAACAAGAAAAAGCTAGTAAGGGGTCGAGCATTATGAAGACAATTAAAAAACATATTCGACAAAAGTCTGACGGAAGTCAGGCGAAGAAACATACAGATGAGTCAAAGGATTCTCTGGTTAAAAAAGGTGCTTCAAACGAGGCGTTAGATGCGAAACCAAGCACACCAATAAAGGCTTATTTAGTAACTGATATTGTCGGCCAACCTTCAACGAAAATGTTTGGAGAACCAGAGATGTACGAGTCAGTATCAGATAGGCGGGAAGAGGAAAGCGTATCAAAAGGTGCGACAGATTTACCTGATGGATGGCAGGAAGTGAAGGATTCGGGTGGGACTTATTATTGGCATGTCGCCAGTGGTACTACTCAATGGGAGAAACCCAAGGTATAAACACGATTAGTCCTACTTTCATATAATAATGATTTGTAAAGAACAGCAAATCTGAATCCTGTAGATGCAAATTTTAACACAAAATAAACACCTTAGCGTAACCGGCCACGTTACCAGCCAGTGCGCTAAGGAAAAGCCGTCACCCTCCTGAAAACATTCACAATGGCCGGCTTGGCTTAGACGTTCAGGGGGGGGGGGTGTCTCTCGTTAGCACAATGGCTACGAATTATGACTGTATAACCAATTTTCCCCTTCATTACATTACTACAAAGTTTTTGTTTTCATTACTACTGTACACTACTACAAAGCGTATACTTGACACAGAGTGAATGGCTATCACTGTTTCATTTTTATAGAAAAACATTGTTAAGTGTATACCCTAAGCAACACATAAAAGTTTGTCAAATTTTGATCTATTGTATCATTTAGCCTTTCCCAAGAGGAGTTGCATGACTTTTCTGGGGAGCTGCAAATATTTCATGGGAGGTCAAAACGATCTCAGGAAAAAACTTCCACACCTCCCCTCAAAATCTGGCCATGCAATGAAATTAATAAAGATTGCAATCCGTAACAGTAATATTATGTGGAAACGGTTAAAAGTTCTCGAAATCGTAACGAATTTAACATTAAGACAGAACAGCATGCGTGAATAAAATGTTTATTTCTTTGCTTAAATTTTGAACGAAAACTTGCAAATTTATGTTTTTCAAATGTATTGCGATATGTGGCCATAGTCTTGTGTACCAAGTAGTACTTTCTATAACACGAACGATAATATGTATCCTTTCTTTAGAAATTAGAAAGCGCCACAGCCACAGATGGTTCAAGCAAACGTCCGATTGTGTAAGTAAGACAGCGTCTTTAAAGTGCTTATGATACGAAATTTCACCCAATCTTTTCTTGAATGCATTGGAAAGATCATTAAAAATAACTGTATAACCTCTTTGGTCGGAAACTTGTAGCTCTCTTTCTTCCGCGATACTCCACTTTGTTAATTTGATACGCAAATATCATCAGTATGACACGGCATGAGACTGCATAATGAGTTTCTGCATAACAGATTGTTTATCTTGTGGGGAAACGATAACAAATACTTAGGATTGTGCTTATATGTGCGTAAACCATTTAATTAGTCATGATATCTGTGTGTGGAATATTTTAACCAATTTCAAAATTTTTATTGTGTTGATTCACTTCAGCACTTCATTCCGTGTTTATGAGGCAAATCTTGGTATGCCATACTTCCTAGCAAACAGCATCACTATAGCTGAGCATTTCAAATCGAAAAAGACTTGAAAAAGCCTAGTTTTATTATTATTATTATTATTATTATTAGTAGTGTTATTATTATTATTAGTTTTACACGGAGACGCCGAGTTCTCCCAATTCAACCCCTCTAGGAGGATCGGCCTTCTAGAGGTATATATGTATTTATATAGAAAGTGTAAAGTAATTTTTTAATAAAAAAATTGAGGAAATTTGAAACTTTGCTCAAAAAATTGAGTATTTTGCTTTTTATTAAAAATCAGGGGCGGATCTACCGTGGGGGTGCAGGGGGTGCACACCCCACCTAGTGGTGTCTAGCACCCTCCTTAGAAAAGTCCAGTACCACCCTAAAAATATGTGCTTGTCCATACATTTTCTGCTTTTCGAATAGCGATTAGCGGAACTTCTATAAACAAAAGATAAATGTAACAGAACATGTTGGGATAGTAGCGTTGCAGATGGTAGAGGAGAGTGGGCAGTAAGGCACCCTGGTGCATTACCCCATGGAAAACCTGAAACCCTCTTTGCAGATGAGGCTAGATCCGCCCCTGTTCAAAATTTGGAGTCATTGTGGGTGCATTATTTTTCTCACGTTTTTAAGTCCAAATACGCATTTCTTCGTAGAGATCCACCGAAACCGAAGCCAAAGCCAGAACTGAAAACCGTAAGTATATGGTGTAATAATTTTTTTTTGTCGTTTTGCATGTCGAATAATATCATTTGCAAATCATAAATTTACGTGGTGTTTCCACAAACCAATATTGATAAGTATGATGTACTGTAGTTACAGTATTTACATGCACCATGCGAAATCTATGTGTTTATGAAATACATTCAGGACATACGGACATTAATGAACGGAACAAAGATTATATCCACGTCAGACGATATTTTCCACCACAGAGTAAATTCATCATCTCATCTTTTTGTTTGGGTTTTATAATTTATGTCACAAGTGAAATGCTATCGTGAAATCTAAAATTCACCTTCGACTTACAAATATATAATAACAAGAATCGTTACATTATGCGGATGTGATGACAAAGCCAGCATGTAGCATTTGCCTCTTATGATTCCTTTGTTAGCATTGGCTATATTTTGTGCACGACAGTTATTGCGGAAAAGGATTGAGTTACTTCGCCAACTGGAAATCGACGGTTTCCCATTAGAGAATAATACTCTTTATCATTCATTCTGGTCACTACGTGTCTTCTCATTGGCCAGTAGCTTACAGCTAAACATGCATGCAATCACGCAATTAACACAACACAGTCGTCATATCTGCTAGCAAATGACTGAGTTATGTGTACGTTGAGCCTGCGTTATGTATTTTTATGGCAAGCGGCAGTTTTAAATACACTAATAAATGCATGAACGAACGACATTTTTGTGAATGCTTTTTGTGCAAAAAGCAGAATTATCTCGAATTAGCAAGGTGTCAGTAAGTGTCATCAGTCTCACCCTCGGCTCGACTGATACTGTGATAGCACTTACATCGACCTTGATAATTCTAGATATCGCAAAAACCTCATCCACTAACTGTTTAGATTAATTAGTTGACTGCGAATGTACGTACATGCATGTATACAGCAATATTACTGTACTGTCGAGAATTAAAAACCTCCTGTTGTTTATAACAACTATATGTTTTCGGAACTGACCAAATCAGACAGTGTACAAATGAATGAACAAACTGCAGTTGACCAATTTGTGGTCGTGTGGTCAAATGCGTGGTTTGCTTTCGTGTAGCTGTAGTGAACGACAATGGATGATTAATGTTTGCGTATTAAGCTTTATGTTTCCTAATTAATCCTGCTTTGTCCTGTATCATGTATGACTATATATACATCGGCTATTTCATACAGACTTGCATATAACTGTTGATTTGTTCTTGGCTAAAAAAAAATTGCTAAAGATAAACTTTGAAAGGCTTGTTTTGAAAACTGCACCTGCTACAGCCGGCATAACCGTCTTCGTGATAATGATATGCATAAGCGTCACTTGCCACTTCCACCGAGCAACAAAACACTGTTATTTTGACAGCGATTCTTAAGAATGGCTCTAAGTAGGAGTTGACAGGATTTATTAGCTTAAAGTTATGGAATGCGAAGGTGCTGTTGGGGTGGAGGATTTGACGCACAAGACTTACATTGTCGTAGGTTTTTACTTTCGTAACGTTTTGTGTTTGTATAGTATTGGTATAATAATATATATAGAATAGTTTCTTTGCTCAGTCTCAAGTCTTCTTCCACGCAGTATAATGTTTACATTCAAATCAGTAGGACGAGATTGGCTTTTATTAAACTGTGTATGTATTTAATAGGTTTTGCGCGATTAGAATACACATATATAGTATAGGTAAATAAACACAAACATATGTTCATCTATATAATAATTTATATGTAGTAACTATGATATATAGCTTAATCCCATGTGCCGAAGATTGCATAAGATAAGCCAAGACATGCTTACAATTAAAACGTTTGTCGTATTCCGTGTAACATTTGTTATAACTATAGCCTATATATTACCACAAGTATAAATGTCTTAAAAACATCGAAGATAAAGCGTTTTCTTATATATTTGGACAACATACATGCAAGATCTTAGGAAAACGTCCTAAATATATGCATATGTAAATTTCATAAATTTCTGAACGCAGGAGTGGAACACTATCTCTTATTATTTTTGCAATGCCAGTGGCTTTGGAAATATGTACAGACTACAGTACCAAAAATTAATGATGTACAATTCATTGTTAGTGTTGGAGTTCCATATAATCATGCAAGTATATATACGAAAATCGGATTAACTTCTTTTATACTATAGCTTCCAATCTTCAGTACCTGCAGATCTACACACTATTGCCAGTTTCTCGTAAGGTCGTGTTGATTTTATTCTGCTCATTTTGAAATAATGCAGAAGCACCCCAGACTGACTGTCCTAGTTACTTGATTACCGATGTATTAAGTCAATGCAGTGAACATTTAAAGTAGTGATTATTTGAGGAATTATGTAATGTAGTGAAAATTTGTCAAATTTAAGTTATATTTTTAATCACGAAAAATTTATTCATTATTGGCTGGTGGCCAGCGTGTGCCATGATAATATACGTATAAGAGACACTTTTTTTACTGATGTGTGATGTCGCCTATTTACGATGAAAGTATTCAAAACCTATATCTTTTTGGCGTTCCTCTCAAAATTACTTTGTTTTAGCTTTATTTTGTAGTTTACACAGTTATAGCAACCTTTCTAATTGTGTCTGGCGGTTTGGAAACGCAAAATAAATACATTTATCATTGATGCTGTAAAATTGACGCCATATTTATGGACAGCATGCAATATAAGCAAAGTTTACTAAACTTCGGACATCATTTTCTCTTTGGTGTATCATCTTTATAAAATCTCCTTTAGCATTATTTTACAGATAAAGCACTAAACATTCTTTTATTGCCGCTTGAGAAACGAATCAATGCTTAAAAATTTGAATATGGTCAAAACCAATTGGAAAAGTATATAATCATTTATAGTTTTGCATGAGTATACGTGCATGTCACCATCATAGGTATCTTATATAGACTAGATAGCGCATCTCTTTTAGTAAAATTGAAGCCAAGAATATTCCAGCGGTTACCATTCAAATGGTTGAATAGATGGTGGCCATGTTGGTGTTTCCCACTCGCTAATAAACGCTTAAAAACAACAATAACTTTCATCATTTGAATAGTTTAAAAATGTTTTTGGAATAGGTTTACCTTAAAGTGGAAGTCAAGTCCGTTCTGCGCATCGGTTCTGCTCATGCATAACAATGTGAGGACCCTCTAATGTAAACATTGCCCTAATTTCGAATGCTTCGAATTTTTCTGAACATAAACTTTACTTCATATTCATTTAGAAGCATAGCGAACCAAAATGGTGTTAGATATTCAGACAGTATATCATATTTTAAAAAATACAGCAGTTGAAAATGTAAACAAACCGTTTGTTTACATACGCGGACTTCACTTCCACTTTAATATTTAAGTTCCGTGTTTAAGAAATAGAAAACATACGAATCTTCTCATTTCATGGGAATATCCTGAGTCTGCGATCACGGCTTAAATTTTTGAATTGTAGAATAATTAAGCCCCGTTTACACTACGCTCAATTTTTGGTACGGCACGGATAAAATTGGTACCCGTACCACTTTTTTGGTTCTTGAAACAAAAAGTGGTACCGTACCACTTTTTTGGTTCCAAGAAACAAAAAGTGGTACGGTACCATAAATTGAGCGTAGCGTAAACGGGACTTCGCAAAATAGGTAGTCCCAGAATAAAAAAAGTGGTACGGGTACCAATTTTATCCGTGCCCTACCAAAAATTGAGCGTAGTGTAAACGGGGCTTTAGATGCACTATCTAGTGTATATATAAGATATCTATGGTCACCATAGACAATCCAAAAGACTTGTCTTTTGGATTGTCTATGGTGTTACGTAACAATGTAACATACAACAGATTCTCTTCATAATATATCACTTTTGCTCGCCTGTTTTCAATTTATATACAATTTTCGAAACGCTCACTTGCCTTGCCATATAAACTTCGAGTAGAAGTTTGAATTAAGAAGGTCGGTTGCATCAGAGCGGGCACTCGGGCTATAGACTCTAGCTTCCCATGCATGCATATATACGAGGTTTAAGTTCAATTTTTGTGGCGAAGGAACAATTTTCTTGACAGAAGATGCCCACGCATGTCGCATAACTAAGAATGAAAAATTTTTTTGGCTTATTTTAATTTCAATCTTACTTTCTGAGTATTCATGCAATAACATTTCTCGATGTAAAAAATAGTTATAAGATAAATCTCTCATTTATGAATATTTACATTCAGGTCAAAGGAGATTAAAAAAATAATGTCGAAGCACATTTAAGTGCGATTGAACTGATAGAGAAAGATATGATTGCAATTAGACTATACAAATCGGTAAAGGAACGAGCTCGATAATTACATCTTTTGCCTTGAAGAGGAAACAAATACAATACAATTTAACTCGTAGTTATGGAGACAGTTTTTGTAATAATGTATATCATTTTGGTTTATATTGACAATTGTCCGGAAGGACTATATACAATTTGACCAATTTATTTCAAGGATGTCTTAAGAGTCTTTGAAAGAGCTTTGTTATGCACTCAAAACTTGTCATCATTTAATGTATAAATTCCAGCCTTTAAAAGGCAACACGCGAATTACTTTTAGGTCATAGACTGATAGCTTGAATCAGCTGCACGAAGAAAGACATGGTATGGCCCCGAAATTCTTGTTCGTCTGACATCGCTAATCAAGCACTTGTAACATTTACTTTTTATTATGTATATGTATAATTACTATAGTGTTCATACTGTATATATACCTGAATATAAAAATTATGGCCGTGTATATCTTTAATTTGACTCGAAAAGTTGGGTGATAAACTGATATTGTCCCTTTTTCAAAGGCAAAGTACTGTAGTAATTGCTCTTGTGCCCAACATTGACAGCCACAGTTGTTTGTTTGAAAGTGAACGCTTTTAATCTGCATAATTGCAGACAAAACTTATAATTATGTGTATAATTGTTTGGACATTTTATAGGTGACCAGTTTTCCAGTGCACTCGATGGGTTGGGTCGAACTGGAAGAAAGTCAAGTTGCCCCACACAATATGACTGATACAATTGCTGAGTGCATCAGTAATCTGGCAAGAGAAAGAAAGGATCTGTGGAAAACACCTGAAACATGGGGTGGGGTAAGTATTAAACGTAAATGTATAGCCCAGTTGGTTAGAGCACTGCACCGGAATCGATGCAGGGCCGCAGTTTCGATTCCTGCCTGCAGGGACCTAAAATTGTATTTTTCGCTTCTGTTGCTGGTTAGGTCTAATAAATGTATATAAATTTCCACTCGATAATTTCCATCTATACAATACCCTTCAACTATAAGTATTAAACGATACTTTTACTTTTTATGTCGCACGTATTTGCATTGTTGAATGGTCTGTGCCAGTGAAGGTAGTTCCAATATAGCCGGTTACAGACGAGCTTTCTATGACATGCAAGTTTTATTTGCTCGTCTGTACAAGCGACTTTGCCAATTCATGCCTGTAGAAAAGGATAATTGTCGTCTTGGCAAACATAAATTTTGGATCTTCATTGCTGTATATAGCAGCTGGAAAGCCTGGAATCTCTATAGGCCAGGAGATTTCGGGAATCTGGCTGCTGGCCCCAGGAAAATCTTAGAATTGACTCAACTGAGGAACGTTTTAGTATTTTAGTAATTTTACATCACATAATTTATGACTTGTGAGGATGAGAATTCAGAAAATATCATGTTATATAATACACACTGGGGAGAATATTTGTGCAGAAGAATTAAATCTTAGCATTAATTGAAGCATTCATATTTCATAATTGATATGGATCTTCAACAGTAATCACTATTGACTATTCAACGGTAATGTGTTGAATTCTTTCAGTTTGTATAATTTAATCATTGTAAAAATCATTCTTAATTTTAAGTTTGTTCGTTCACTGCAACCAGGTATATCAATCATGTTTCGCTCGCTACTCTGGTTTAAATAAATGATTACAAAGCCCAGTCGAATTGTAATCAAGACCCAACGTTTCGACACTCCAGTCGACACTAGACTGCATGGAGTGTCGAAACGTTGGGTATATGATTACAATTCGACTGGGCTTTGTAATCATTTATTTAAACCAGAGTAGCGAGCGAAACATTATTCTTAATTTCTTATGCAAATTGTTGCTTACAACTTGCAAGATGATTTTTCAGTTTGGTCATGAAAAATTTCGTCTTGGCCCATCACACCTAGGAGGATTTTCTACTGGCATGTGCCAATTTTTACCATGACACGTACACTTGTTCGAAAGCTAGTATGCTAGCTTTTGAACATGCATGTGCACTTGTCATAGAAAAAATTGGCAAAGTACAAATTGTGTTCGTCTACATGGGTCAACAAGTGCTCAGATTACTTTGCCAAATTTTCTTTGCATGCGATTGGTCAGCGATCTATTGTTGTAAAAGATGATAATAGCTCCCGTGGCAGTCAGAAAACCACAAACTTTACTATATGATACGGCTTTTCTATCGATTAAACCTGGAGTAAAAAGAATTTCAAAATTGCAAGATGCAATAAAATTGTTCAAAAAATAAATGCTATAAATGTCGTAGATATGTTTGACATTCTTTAATAGATATTGGTCTATAGTTTTCAATGACCGGTAATGTTCATTGTTATTGTCGGCACAACCCGGCACTGCAGTATGTCCTCATTCAGCTAGATTGATTTTAGTGTTCACTGAATATAAATATGCAATATTTTCATTGCTGGTGTCATCAGATGACGTTTTTGCCACGTATTTTTTAAAATTTGAAATAATTTTTCAAGTGAACTTTTTCAATGCGTCCAAATCTGCCCAACAAATGTCTGTATGACAACGCATGTACTTTTAGGAAAGAACTGGGCTATGCATGCTGGTTCAGTACTCAGCACATTCATATAGGGCATTTCAGTGAAGGAGGCAAATGGTTCTTTTTTTTTATCTAAAACCCCTGTGGCGAAGTTACTTAAACTTGTACTGGATATTACTGAAGACTAGTATTTAAACTTGTGTGTGGTGCAACTACTTGAAAACGAGAACAAAGTTCGACGTTTCTAGCGACGGACCTTCGTCTGGAGACTGGAATTACTAGACACCAAATCACCAATAGACCTTTCCCCTTATGAGTGAAATTTTGATCTAGATATGCCTGGACAAAAATTTCATCACAGCTTGAAAGAGCATCACAAAATTAGTAATATTCCGAAGTTTCGTTGCGAAATGTTGTAAAATGCGGATAATATAGCCTTGCGAGGTTTGTCGTTTTTATAATAATAATAATAATAATAATAATGGTATTTTAATAACACATCATCGCATGAAAATGAATTACAATGTGTTTTACAATTGATTTGAATGGGAATTACAATACTAAAAGTAACTATATTACAATGTATCATTAGATTATTAAATAAGAACTTATAACTAAGAACAATTATTTGTTTAAAACACTAATCATGCTAAGGAAAAAACTATTACCAAATCTATCAGGTCTACATTTAAAAGAAGCGAATTGTTTAAAATTCCTTAAATTATACACATGTTCGTTTTCACTGGTGAGAATTAGATGGGAAGAAAGACGACTGCCCAATGCAATATTTTTCATCGTCTTTTCGCAAAGTTCACCTCGACGTATATCCAGCCTAGGACACTGCAACATTTCTTGCGCTTCACCGTAGGATCGACCTGGCAGTATAATCCTCAATGCACGTTTTTGAATTTTCTCGACTTGTTCAGACAGATACATAGGTAGACCACAATGCCATACTGTACAACAATATTCTAATGTAGATCTAATCAATGCATAATAAATTGTGATAAGGTCGTGCGGTGGAATCCCTCCCCGTCGTAGGACACATAGGATATGCAGTCGCTTGGATGCTTTGGTAACAATCATCGAAATATGTTCGTTCCACTTAAGGTCATCCTGGATAATCAATCCAAGAACCTTGTGCGACGATACACATTCAAAGATCTGGTCTTCAACACACAAGTGTGGTAGTTCAGGTTTGTTCCGAAAGAAACAAATTTGCATCTCTTTGCATTTCTTTGCGTTCAATTTCATCAGGTTATTAGATGCCCATGTAGCTATAGAAGTTAAATCAGACTGGATTACAGACGGTTCCCCATTCCTTAATAATCCCTCAGAGATAGTAACATCATCAACGAATTTCCAATTGCTAGGCCTCCCCGAACTGCATTGTAAATCATTGACCATAATTAAGAACAGGATCGGACCCAACTTCGTACCTTGGGGGACACCGGCTGTGACAGGAAGCCAACAAGAAACAGCTTCCGCAAGCTTGACCCGCTGTCTTCGCCCTGATAGAAAGTTTACGATCCATGGTATTAATGATCGCCTAACGCCAATATCAACAAGTTTTTGGATAAGAATGTTATGGCCAATACGGTCGAAGGCCTTTGAAAAATCCAAAAAGCATATGCGAAGAAAATGACCAGTTGAATCCAAATGAGAAAGCCAACAATGCAACATGTCGAGCAAACAATAGGTCGTGGATGAACCCTTTAAAGAACCGAACTGTTGTGCGTCAATATTATTCCTAACGTCAGAGATCATCCATCTAACGACAAAATCTTCGAGAACTTTAGAAAGGCATGGCGTTAGTGAAATGGGTCTTGTGTCACCCTCGTCAGTTGGTTGTTTAACTATTGGAATGGGAGTAATATGTGAGTCTTTCCATATATTTGGAACAATCCCGGATGCAAGTGACATATTTAAGATTTTCGCAACTGGTTCAGCGAAAAGGTGCGCAAATTCCTTCAAAAGGCGACCTGGAATATTATCAGGACCACATGTTTTGGAGGCATTAACGACCAATAATTTCTCACAGACTTCGTGCGGTTCGATGTAAGGCACTTGATCTATGCTGGTAACGTGGTTATATCTAGTGGTGGAATGTCTGCGTTAACCGAGATGTAAAACTTGTTCAAATTATTGGCCAGTTCTAAATCTGATAATAATTCACCTTCCTTTTCAAAGGTAAGTTTAGTACACTTCTGAGATCGGCCAGACAACTTATTTACGACTTGCCACCACTTTCGGCAATCGTCTTTCTTAAGATGTTGTACTTTAGTTTTATAATATTCTTTCTTTCTTACGGCTATTTCGGTCTGGACCTTATATTTCAAAGTTCTCCACTGCAGAACATCTCCACCATGGAAAGCTCTTTGACGGTCATTAACGAGTTTTTTGATAGACACAGACATCCATGGTTTATCGGAATGGCAAAACCTAACAGATTTCAGGGGAATAAGACTGTCAAATGCTGTAGATACTTGGGATGAGAAGGAATTAGCTAGGTCATCTACGGAAGGGCTTGGACCCAAATTACTGAACCATTGATGCGTGCTGGCCCATCGGCCGAAAGAATTCAAGGCGGATAGCGGATAGCGGCGTATAAGACGCTTAATCGGTTTAGGTTTGGTAATAGCATCAACTTTATTAGGAACCCATCGTACTATATTATGGTCAGCAGACCCAAGCGGCTTGTCATAAAAATCTTGTAAATCGGTGACGATGAGATCAAGGGTAGATGACCCCCTTGTAGGAGCAGAAACGACTTGCTTCAAACTAAGACTACGGGTTAGGTTCGAAACATCAAAATTATTAAAATCACCAAGGAATACGATTCTACAATTAGGATAACAATTCCTAATGGAATCCGTTGTGTTCATCAGATATTCATCAAGATCACGTTGTTCTTCAGCAGTTCTGCCAGGGGGGTTATACACAACGCAAACTGCAATAGCCGAAAGAGGTCTTGGCAGTCGTGTCGGGCGGATCCATAACCAAAGACATTCAAAATTCGGATTTTCAAAATCTAGTCTCCGTTGACAGGGAATGTTTTTCAAAGAATAAACGCACACACCACCGCCCCGGCTACCTGTACGATCGTTACGGTGGATATTATAGCCACTGATATTAACCTGCAATATTATTATGCACTGTAATTACATACAGAGCCTGATGCAAGTCTTGACCCACACCATAGTTTTATTTTTAGTACCGGTATCCAATCAAAATGTGCCAGGAGAAATGTCGATTTCACATAATTTAACAACAAGCTAAATATAGTTACAATCACTAAATCTATAATTATTTAATTATATATAGCATTAATTAACCAAAATATCAAAAAATACATTAAATATGGCATGAATACTCATGCTAGGAATAGCCAATCAGAGTTACAACCATAAAGGCAGTTGTAGGACACAAACGTTTAATAACATGCATGTGTATCAGGTCTTCATTTTTCTTTGCCCGCCAGCTGTGAGAAAAATGAAGGTCTGGGCACAGGTTATAATCCCATGTAAACAGAGATGAAATTTGCCCCACTAAAGCAAGCTGTCAAGTTTGGTATTGGGGCTGGTTTGCCTCCAGACAAGCAAACCTCTCTTACTCGGTAAAGACTGTAAAATGTCAAACTACCTCATCCACCCCCGCCCCCCCCCCTGCTGGTATAAGCAATAGTATTTATAAATAGACACAAACTTTAATTATTTATATGTTAATACAAACAAATCTGCATTAACTGTGGAGCCCATTTTCCACTTTATACACTTCTTAAACTGAACAATAAACTACAATGTAAAATATAGATAAATTTCACTTACTTTAGAGCCCTCAGTTCGAGTTTCACATAGTGCCGATAGTGGGCATCTCACAGTACAAATATACTTCAATTCTTGTACTCAGATGAAAGATTAGATTCATTCTAAGCCTTGGTAATTAATTCGGTAATTTGTTCTCCGTTTTCTCCGTCAATTTCGAGAGATATTTCTTCCCATTAATATTATTTGTCTCATTTGCATTTAGTGTTTGCATATCCTTGCCGCCATGCCACGACTTGAATCGAATGCCTCGTTACGTCACAGTAGATTTTGATTTTGCAATTTGCATCAGTGAACTGATGCGAGCGCCCGCAATCTGCATGCGATGCATCGCTCAGCGGACAAATCTACCGTGACGTAGGGCTCTAAAACAATAGATTTGATGATGTCACAGTAGATTTTACGCGGAAAAGGACTCGGGACCGATGCATTCACTGATGCAAAATGGCTGAAAATCGATGCAAACCAAATCTACCGTGACGTAGGTGATGCATCAGCTTTCTACTGTGACGTCAAAGGATGCGGTAAAAAATAACATATTTTGTCGCGAAATTATTGACGCTTAAGTGTCGCAAAATAAAAAGTAAATAACAAAAAGTACACATTTGCGATCGCACGTCGCATATTGGACTTTAATATTTTGACAATTTCGACTGTTATTGAGATTTAAATTGGATTTCATCCTAAATAGTGTATTCCTGACATGGAGTCAAGTTTAAGCAAATATTTGCGGTTTGATAGCTGGCGAAATTCAAAGATATTCTATTACTGAGTACTTGACTATAAAGTATTGACGACGGCATAATATGTCTATATATTATTTCAAGCAACATGATTTCTCAACTGTGACCGATGCATTCGCATCGTTGGCATCGGTCTGGATCCGCCCCTGGGTATATACAGTAAACTGACAAAGTACTGTAGATCACATTAAGCCATATGCATTATAGCCTTATGGACTGTAATTTGCCCTGGATTTTTGAAGTTGAAAAGTAGGAATTATGTTGTTTGTTAGCCCATTACAGGCAAGGTGCTCTGTTTATTACTACCTGTGTGGCAATAATACTTGATTGCCTCACACCACAAATTTTACTTGTCAAAGAGAGGCAGCTTTGGCATGTACAATGAGACAAGGATAGGGAAAAAACAAAGACTGTATTAAATTAATCAATATACAGTAGACCCCCTTGCTAAAGAAATAATGTTGCATGTAGGCAGCAAATAAATAAAGTGCCTGTGATTACATTCGCCCAGAATCTGTTGATGGTGACCCTTTTTCGATGGTGATCCTTTTTTGATGAATTTATTTATACAGCATGACATAGTTGACAATTATCGACATCAAACCAACTCAAGATCTTGATATAAGACAATCGGTTTCAAATGGCCAGTTATAGGCATCATCATGACCATATAATCCATACCATTTTACTATTGGTTTTCTAAGTTGTGACTGGAGTATTCATAGCTGCAAAAACCTGGCAATGTTCATAGAGAAACTTATTTCATATTATAATATTTATATCAAACTAGTTTTTCATGGTTCTGAAATGGAATATGAAGAGGAAGCCATTGACAGTTGCCTTTGGGTCCTAAAATTCTTAACACCAAATAATTGTGAGACTGTACTGAGGGTCTCCCAGGGCTGGTTTTAGGAAACCAGAGAACAATGCATATTTTGCAATCAGAATTCAAAGAAAAAAAATGATAAAAAAACAAGGGACCATAAAGTTGGGAAAACAAGGAAACATGGTGAAATCTTTGTGGGGGGAAAAGGAAAAATTTGCAAGGGAATACATATCCAGGCCCCATAAGATACCATAGCTTTATACTCTACAGTGAATAAAAATAATAGTTTTTCACCTTAATTATTTGAAGCTCGAGCCATCACTACCAAGAAAGCTATGACCAATTCTTCTTCTACTGAATAATATAAAAAACTTATATCAGATTCTAAAATATAAAACCTTCATCACGTTTCAAAGGTTGTCCTCTTTTGACTATA